CCCTCCCCCTCCCCGCCCCTCCTCCCCCTCCTCCTACCGTGTCCCCGTTATTTATCCTTCGTAGAACTTAACGAGCGACTTAACGTGTCGTTGAATCAGGACAGCTCTTTACGTTTGATTATTCACCCGGCATTCTAATTCTCTTCGTGCGAGACGCATTGTCCTGTTGTGTATAAAAAAAAAAAATCTAGGATCGCGTTTAGGGTTAGATTTAATCATTAGAGATTATATTATATTGTAGGTTTCATAAGAGTACGTGTCTCATGACGAACATTTCTCGCGTATATGAAGTTTCACGTGTCATTGTGTATGACTCACAAAGCTCGCGGTAATCTTCATTCGAGATCTAAACTGTTTGATGATGTGCCAATATTCGCGTCATAATACGTGCAGGCCGTAGCAATTATTTTAACGTCTGTTAATTTGCTTATTGCCTGTCCTCTGTCAATCACGTGCGCGAGCCTTCCTTTTAGAATGTAAATCGCACAAGATTATTCGTTACTGATTTTTATATGATCTCTTATACGCGCATTGCTGTTATTATAAATAAAGACTTATATATTTTTGTAGCATGCGTCGAATGAAAAAAAATTAATCCGCACGTACGTTTGTGCACCGCGAGTTTGCTTATTAAGCTTACATTTAAAAGTATTGCTATTTATTTCAGCTGTAGATTGTTTTGAATAAAGTGTGTATGAGAATTAATTTTCTCAACTTATATATAACATATCTAATATTTTAGATGCGAAAGTATTTACCGCAGTAAGAATCCATTTAAAATTTGAAGATCAAATTGATACAAACAGCAAGAGAATAATAAAATACAAAGTATCTGAAAAGTATGTTGCTATTTATTTACTGTAGATTTTCCGAATAATGTGAATATGATAATTGATTTTCTTAATTTCTTATAACACAATATTTTCGCTGCAAAAGTGTTTGGTGCGATAAGAATCTGCTCAAAACGCGAAGTAAAATAATTTCTAATATAATATAATAAAACACGAAATATCTGGAAAATATTGTGTGATTTCTGAATAATCGTGTGTGTGTGTGTGTGTGTGAGAACTGTATTTAAAAATTTATTATAACATATTATAATATTTTGGACGTGAGTGTTTGGTGCTTTAAGAAATGCGAAGTGAAACTTGTACAATCGGCGAGAGAATATTACATCGATCCGATATTACGGACGATATATATACGCGCGTGGAAAAATTCAATAAGCCACGAATATCCGTGATTCCTAGCAATAGTTGTACTTCAACGAATGACACACTTTGTTGTTTACTTAAGGAGAATTAAACGCTCGCGACTGTCACGCGCACGTGTGCAATCGACGCTTGTCTGCCTGATACCATCGTATCGGGCGCGATCGTTTGCAAAGTAACAAAAGCAACCGAAACCACTGACGTCAGCGTTTCCGCGAGCGTATATACGCGAACGATGATCTCATGCGTGCATGATACATGTACGTGTGTGTGTGTGTGTGCGCTTACCTAACCGCGACGCAGTTCCTTTTACGCCGCCCGTACGTGTTGTAGGTAGTCGTACGCACGAATTGCGCTATCGCGTATATGTGTCTATACGTGACAACGCTACGATGCGGTACGCTTGCTTGCGTGCGACCACGTATGCATTTGTCAGCATCTCGAGTAATACGCAGTGATATATGTATCACTTCTACCGGTACTCTTTCTTTCGCGATCTCGCGCGCGTTTGCCAGTCTTATCTGCTTAAAATCGAATCTTGCACGAGACTTTCGCGCTGCGAGGCACAAAGTGTCCCGCTTTCGACTTTGCACGATGGAGATTTGCAGGAATTAGAAAGAATAGATATGTCAAAGAAAAGGGATATTCACAATGTTTTAATGTGAATTATTGTATCTTCGTTTCTTATTCGTTTTTAAATTGTCAACGCTGACCGGGATGAAAGGCCGAAGTGTTGATGCGAATTTCGAGAAGATACCGTATAGAGAATGGAGTAAATATTACACTTAAATAGATATTCGAAATTTTATACGCTAAATAACAACTACGACGTTTTGCTCTCTGAGTAACATTTGTGTATTAACAATTGTATATTTGAAATAATAAAGAGACGATTTTAAGAAATTTTTAACTTGAATATCGTCATTTGTGCATTAGAAGGAATTAAATTATATTAGTCTCTTCAATTCAATATTTTAGAGAAAGATTGATTCGAGCTATAAATGACAACTTCATGGGAATGCACTGTCTATTCTTATATTACGTTTATAGATACTATGGAAAGGTGGCGAAATATATAAATGATACGGTAGAATGGAGAGAAGAGCAGTGTCTCAAGCAGAATAAACAGCGGTCTCTTCTAAACTACGCTGTAATACATTTTCTCGGTATAGCAATAACTTCTTGATAATAATTAAAGTTTTCCGTAATTTTGCGTTATGATATTTTGCCCTTCGCGAATTTGCATAATCGGCCCGCGAAATTTCAAGCTTACAGTGCCGAGCGAGTATTCCGCGCGTCTCAATACAGCCAAAATTTCCGGCGGAAGAACGTTGATTCTCTCACACCATCCTCATAATCTCGGGCCACGCCTGTAGTAATATGAATCGCAGCAAAAATCAGAACGGGGGTGGCTCTTAGAGAGCGTCCCCGCAGCAGCCCCTGGGTTTTAAGATATGCAGAGCACAACGCACGCTTTCCTAGCGAGGCTATTTTAATACGAATGAGAGGGTGGGAGGATCAGACGAGAAGCGCGATGGTATGGCGGCCAGCTCGGAAGATCTACTTCTTGATTACAGAACTTTTTACCTAATTACATAACATTGTTACCATTTACAAAGTCGCGTCGAGTCTGCGCCGGCTGACTACTAATTAGAATCCTCGATTAGCACCCGCGGCGACATCGTATTCCATTTCGATAAGTCTCGCGACATTTTACCGGTTTTCATAATAAAAGGGTTGCGAGAGACTGCGCGGTAGGGTGATTTTTAATGTTGCCGCGCAAATGCTAATAATATATAATTGAATGCGTCATGTTTAGAGTATATAATGTTTCTTCGTAAGACAAGTAAAGATGCAAGATAGTGAACATTATTTCGGATAATGTCAGAACTATATCATTCGTGTGCAACTTACTTGGAACAGTCTATATTGCAATTATTTAATTTATAATTTATAATCCTTCGCACAATTTTCGATCGGGATATTATGAGATATTCTTGTAACGAATCTCTTCATCTGTATCCTGCCAGTGAGACGTTTATTTTTACGAGAAAGCGGAGTCGCAAACTATGTATATGTGACACATGACTGACGAACTACTTTGGGCGATAAAAATTTGAATCTCATTTTTCAGATCTCGCGACGTTCGCAAATAATTAGATATACCGAATCGTGTAGTCAGAGACTAGCGCGTTGGAACTCGCGCGCGATATCAAAGGTTCAGAAAGAGTCGAATTTATCCCCGAGACTTAAGGTTCTTATCGGAAAGATGTAAGGGTCGTAGAGATAGTCATGCACGAGGGACGAGCTTCCCGACGATGCAGACATTAAGACGTCTGGTCCTCGACCTCCGGCTTTCCGCCCCGCGCCAACCCCTTGGCGAGCGCGACCCCCTTTAGACGACGGGAGGTTTACCCCGTCTTCATTGTCCTCTAATTCTCATCTGATCCTCACATTACGTAATTTTCTCTTTATTATTTTATAATTCCCGAGTCTCGAGCCCCGGGCCCGCGTTCATCCGACTTCAGGTCCGCACGAACTCATCCCTCGCAACGCATACTAATGCACCCTGCATTTATTAATTATTCCGTGCTAGTTACCTCGGCTTCTCGTCTCGCCGTCGCAATGATAGATTAAACCACCTAGATTCGGAAGCTCGCGATGCGAATCCCGCTCGTCACCGTGATGATACGTGCTTGGAAATTTTTTCCTTTCGCGAATCGATAGAGACTGAGTACGGTATATATGCTTCTTTTCAGTCATGCGCGACAATCCCTGTTACGTATTACGAATAATAAATACGATGTAGATTCTATTGAACATTGTTAATTGTTTTTCTTCAAATTAGAAAATGATACATATATTATTTGCAATTTTGTTATTACGTTTTGAAATTTTTTAATGTTACATTAATCGTGAAACTATGAAGAATATATTACTCATTTGCTATAATAAAGACGCAACAAAAATTTGTTGACGATACAACGAATGCATTCAAAAAATGGCGATTTTATAGAAAAATAACAAAAGTGTAATGAGTTTTAAGAGTTTTTAAGAAGCGTTTCGAA